GACGACAGAAGAATTATATTAGATAATAGCTGAGTACATCGACACATTACAAGCACTTTGGAATACAATGTATATATCCAGAAACTGATTTTCATCTAAATTGTACCCACACTATGAACAAGGTAATAAATAGCGTATAACGGGTTGGTAGCGGATTGGCGTCGAGGTAGCGGATTGCGGATAACGGGCGATATTGCAGATGATAAGTTCCAATAGCGGCACTTGATAATCTCACATAATTTTAAATACATATATCATAAATAATGAGTATAAATAGATATTTAATTGCACTCAAAGAACTGATGTCTCACATATTTAAATTAATAAAACAAACATGGTGTTCCACGCATTAAATCATCACATTAAGAGTTTGCAAAGAAACATATTATTTGCTCCACGCTACTACGGCCTGCTACGTGCAATTGCGGCCTGCAATATCGCTTGCTATTTAGAATTGCAGCCGCAAAGTTCCAGACTGCAAAGTTCAGAGCGCTACCTCGTAGCGGTAGCGGCAATGGGACGCTACCGCTATTGCGGCCGCTACCACCGCTATTTTATTACCTTGACTGTGAATAGCTCCAAATCTCAAAACCAAACCTATTATTTGATGCTTCGTATGGATGATCGCATAGGCAAACACTCGACAACAAGCATGAGAAACAGATGCCCATCGAACGACGGCCAACATCCCTGCAGGAGGAGTTGAGAAACTTCTTCTTTTCTTGTGTCATCCTTCTTCTTTTTGCCACCGAAAAATGAGAAAGACCGATCTGAAACTTATTCTCCCTAGTCCTTCATCATGGTCGGATCTAACATCAACAAAATGGAGAAGAGACCGGAGAATTTTATCTCCTCCTTGATGTCGTCGTCCGAGAAGAAAAGTCTCCATATCGTCATGTCGGTGAAGTTACTAATGCCGTAGTTGTCATCCTAATCTTCAATAGAGCCGCCATGAAGAAAACGATTCCACCCTGCCCCATCGCCATTGCCATCGCCAGAGAGGAGGAGGAGGAGATAAATCTTCAGTACCAAAAAATTTGGCATGGAGAGACCCTAACCCTAATTAAGGACTCGATCTACTAATAAACTTATAAAAACGATGAATTCTCACTCCCTCTGGCTTCCGACGAGATGCCGGAGGAAAAGGGAGGGGGACTAGCGGTGGTGGACGGCGGCGCTTAGGGCTACTCTCGTGAGAGGGAGACGAGAAGACGTACTTCGTATTGGAATAGCCTGTCATGAGTATTAATTAATGTATTACTTAAAGAACTAGCAAGAAACTACTTAGGATCAGAGGGAGTACGAATCTACCCCTTAAATATGCACGCAAGTGCACCCACAGCAAAGTTAATCACCGTTTGGAAAGTTCAACGATTGATTAATTAATGGATTGGATAAAATTACAAAAGAGTTTGTGCGTGCAAACAGCAGCAACCTCACTCGCCCGGTCGCTCAGATTCGCGTGTCCAATTATTTTATCGAAAGAAATGGTAGCCTGTTTACTTGTCACCATCAGATGTGCCAAAAGGACGAATCATATGATATTATGAAGAAAAACGCAGAGCTGTTAAACGAGAGGAAAAGAAAAAACGACATCGATAGATCGATAAATAAACAAGAGGACGGCGGGTGCCGTGCCTGTGCGTGGATCGGTGCATGCATGGCCCGCAAAAGACGCATGCATGCGTGTCCGCTAGAGCCACGGGATGTTCGACGGCCGGAGTCTCTGTTGCCATGCCTGTGACTGTGAGGCTGTGTGCGTGACTGGCTTGGTTGGGTTGCCTTGACTTGCCGTCACATAGAAATTGTTTTTTCATTTTTCAGTTTTTTTTGTGTGTAGCCTGGTGGGTGGGGGCAGCGACGGCTAAGGCGGCTCAAACAGAGTTACTCCCTCCGGTTTTCTAAAGCAAGTCATTTTTAGGTTGTTTTAAGTCCAACATTTTAAACTTTGACTACAAATAACTTCTTTTGGGTTAAGTTTGAAAATATGAAAGTGATGTAAGTAGATTCATCTCGAAATGTAGTTTCATAAAAGTATATATTAACTATATTTTATAAATATTTTATAGCAAAAAGTTACAGTCAAAGTCGTTTCTTAAAGACCGTGTCGATGTCCAAAACGACTTGCTTTAGAGAACCGGAGGAAGTACAGAGTAGTACCACTGGCTGGACATGTGATTATCGATTGGATCTCCACAGTTTGATCCAGAGAAAGAAAAAAAAATATTTCTTTTTTATATATAAAAATGGAATTTCTTGGAGGCTAGGGCCAATTATTATTTCAATTATTTTACATAAAAATTTCAGTGTGGTGGTATAAATGTAGTTATAAATAACTTTATTTCAAATGGCCCCACACAAGAGGTTGCATAATTCATATGGTACCCTCTAGTGTAGTAGGCCTCCTCCAAATTTGGATCCATGTTCTTGGGAACCAGGTATCCAAACAGACATGATCTAATTTTAGCTTATCCTCCTGTGTATTCGTAAGTATGATTTGAACGAGTATTCAATCCGCAGCACTCGTTCATCAGCCCATTCCGCCAACTCTCCTCGCTGATATGCAGAGAATATCACGGTCGTCTCTCTGCAGTCCACAAGGCTCAGCTACTACGTGCAAAAGAGATAGGAACGGATGGATGGATAGACCAGCTGGAGAAGCAATCGATGGTGGCTGGACTGGAGAGCTGGATCGCATCGGCAATTCGGCATCCATCTCCCATCGGGTAGCCAAGATATGTATCCGTCCATCCATCATCATCCATCGCGGCGGTCCCAGTCAGGCATGCAGTCCCCTCCCGCTCCCGGCCTCCCTTCAGAGCAGAGCAGAGGATCAGTGCCGCAGAGGGAGAGTAGTACATACTCCGTACAGAGGAGAGGAGGACCCTCAACCCTGGCACGGCAGCTCTTCCTCATGCATGGTGCATGCATGTCACGCAGGACCCCCTTTTGAAACGAGGCATGCATGCGACCATGCGTTTCAAGCAGCCAGCCATCGCATGCATGCATGTGCCAGCTAGCCCTCTCGTCGTAGTACCATGCATATAGTCTATTGTCGCTGCAGCAGTAGTACCACGCCCTCTCCCATCACTCCACGCGACCATGCGTTTCAAGCAGCCAGCCATCGCATGCATGCATGTGCCAGCTAGCCCTCTCGTCGTAGTACCATGCATATAGTCTATTGTCGCTGCAGCAGTAGTACCACGCCCTCTCCCATCACTCCATGCGAGTATGCGATTTCATGCAGCCAGCCATCGGTACGCGCAAAAAGATTTTTTTTTTTTTTGATAAGGGACTGCCCGTTCATATGGCGAGCGGCAGGCAACAGATCGATGTGCGAAAGGTATAAAGGTATACAGATCGACCATGCGTCTCAACTCTCAACTCACACTCGATCTCCCAGTAGTATACTCCGTATAAGCCTCTGCAACACAGACAAAAGAAAAATACTTAGGATTAGCATGAGAAGTCGGATCCAGTACTGACAATTATCTGCCGACACGTACGCCCAAACCGAAGGAAATTAAAGGCCCGTGCCGCAGCCGCACTCATCAGTCGCTTGCGGTTGCGGGCGGGCGAGCATCCCCCAGAAAATAATGGCGTTGGCGCCCCCGCATGCACGTACTCGCACGTTGCGGAGGCCACCGCCCCTGGCCAGTACGGAGTAGTATACGCCAATCAAGGCGGGACTTTTCTTTCTTTACGAAAAGCACCCCGCGGCCGCATGCATACCGCATCCGCATCCGCATCCGCCCCGCGCCTGATGCCAAGGCAAGCCGAATCCTCCGCGCCACGAGGCCAGGGCCAGAGGCCTCCCGAGTACAGTTTTAGTCCCCAGCAGGCCAGCACCAGAGGCACGCCGGTCACCGGATCAGCCCGCGTGTGCGAGAAGCCAAAGGCAGTCACGCTCGGCAGCAGAGCACGCTGCCCGCAGGCAGTCAGGCAGGACTGGGCAGCCGATGCGCTGCGTCCTGGCACGGCAAATTCCGCTTGCTTCCGGTCTTCCCCAATGACCGCTCACGTGTCCCCTGCAGCAAGGTAAAAAGGAGTCGCCTCGCTTCCTAGTCGGCCGAAAGTCGTCTGTCTTCTTTCACAAGCCTCGCAAACGCGCATTCAGGGTCTGTTTATTTGGTATACAACCTAAAAGCACAAGTAGATATCATACATCAACCGTTAATCTTAATTTTTAAGTCGTTGTTTTATCTAAAGATAGAGGATTACTCCTAGCTCACACTCTTTTTTTAGCATGAGATGCTACAATGTACTGGAGTACTCCCTTCGTTCCAGATTATAAGACGTTTTGGGTTTTCTAAATACATAGCTTTTGTTATGTCTAAATACATAATAAATCAGTGTATCTAGAAAACTCAGAATGTCTTATAATTTGAAATGGAGGGAGTATTTCCGTTGTTCCAAATTATAGATTGTTTTGGCATTTTTAGATACGATACTATGTATCTAGAAAAAACCAAAAAAAATTTATAATAATTTGAAAAGGAGGTAGTACTCACATACCTAGAAAGTAAACCACTTTACAAAACAGAGTAAAGAGAAAATGGTTGTGCATTTTAGGCAGCGGTGATCACTGATTTGATGTCTGCCTCTACTCGAGTCCTTGGTTATTTTTGCTTGAAGAGTCTGTAACCTCACATTAGAGTTTGTTTGAAAGGCTTACATTTTAGCTTTTCTAGATACATATACACTTAAATATATACTATGTCTAGATATATAGTAAAAATAATGTATTTGAAAAGTGAAAACATTTTATAATTTGGAGTGGAGAGAGTATTTTATAATTCAATTTTCCGGTCTGGAACAGAGACTCTGCCTTTACTATCTGACGACAATTGCATTTATATGTTGTCTACAATATGTCAAACAGAAGTACCTTAATACAAGCATGATGATGCCAGAATTTGATATGTGCAGTGAGCTCAAAGGCAAATAGAAAGCTTGCTGTCTCATTTGGCAATGTTGTGAATCCAAGAATTGTTTCATTTCTAGAATTTTGTCTCATTTGTTACATCTAGTTCAACACAAAAGCCCATCACTGCTGTCCAATGCCATCTGTTAATCACTGCAGCCCAGGCCGTCGATTTCAGTCGCCTGGCAACTGGGATTGAGCTATTATATAGAGGACGAGCTGCCTGGGCACCAACCAAAACATACCGTCATATTACGCCCATTTTTCCAGACCTATCACATAGAGGCTTTGCTAAAATGTTACTCCGAAGTAACCGTGGACCATTGATCTAGATGACAGTTACCACATATTATCTCCTAAAAATGATTACCTATACTATAGGCATTTCACATGTTACACTTTCAAGAGATTCGTTGGAACTCATACGAACTAGTACATGCTCGTCTGATTCAATTACCATGTAGTTGACCCTCAATTCACATGCCAACGCAATAGTTTAAGGAATAATAGCATGTAATCCAACTGTACTTCCTCAGCCCTTGGTCCACCATCAGCTGGATGGGCAGCTCGTCACTGGCATGGGAGTGGGTCCCATGGCCTCTAACGAGTACCTCCCCGTCTGAGTCGATGTCTCGATGATACCGGATCGCCTTCACCTGTTGTTCATCAGAATTGCTCAGCACACCTCGTTATGTTTTGACAGAGTTCAGGGACACGGTGGGTAGTACTGAACGCACCTTGAAGTACTCCACGCATGGTGAGTTCATGTAGGCGGCGTCCTTCATCTGGAACACAAGCCCGAGAACATCCCACAGTGGGCAATCTTTGATTATAGCAGCATCCAAGTAGCCATCCACAAACTGCATGGCAACAAACATGAATGAATCAAGCTACGGAGCACAGCGGAACCTCAATGCACTAAATGGCAAGAGACTGACCTTTGCCTTTGGTGCTGCCATGGCATCTTCGTTAGCGAAATGAATATAGCCAAGACAAACTGAAACGAATGGACCATTCAGTGATCTCCATGCAAGATCAGCTTCTTTGATCGATGGGCCTACAGTCACACCTTTCACAATTGCTGTCAGTTGCTCTGTCTTCTCGAAATACTTTGCTAACTCCGTTTGTTTCATAACTGGTAGTTTGCTCCACAGGATCACCAACTTCTTTAGATTCTGGTCCTATAACAAAAAGGGCAAGCCCATTGTGCCATCGCAGGTTCAGCATGCAGAGTAGGAGCTGAAAAGAAGTTGCATTGTACATGGCAGAGCACAGTGTGAGCTTTTAAAGATCCAAAAAATACCCTCAGAAAGAGTAACATAAAGCCATAAAGGTGCTACATCGACTTATGCAATACGATATCAATATCGTCTGCAATCTATTATGTGCACTAGAGCTCAACCAACATGTTGTGGAAGTTTCATTCTTTCATGTATGTAGTATGTTAACCATGATCTTTTAGGAAAAAGTCTACATCACCCCCTGAGGTTTGGCACTCTGGTTGATCCACCCCCTGAGGTTTAAAACCGTCTAAGCAGCACCTTAAACTTTCCTAAACCGTTTAACTAACCCCCTGGGTGGTTTTTGGGGCTGTTTTGCTCAGCTGGCAGTCCACCGTGGCAGAGGAGAGGACCCGTGGAACAAAAATCCAATCCCCTCTCTCGCCCTCTCTGCCCGCTCGCAAACAGGCCCGCGGACTTCACGCCGCGTCGGGCTCTGCTTCGAAGCCGGGCGCCGCGTCGCCTCCAGGCCGCGCCGGGTTCCCCCTCCACGCCGCGCCGGCCTCCGCTTCCAAGCCGGTCGCCGCCTCGCCTCCCAGCAGCGACGGGCTCCGCTTCCAAGCCGGGTGCTGATGAAGAAGAGCAATGTGGTCCTGGTGATGAAGAATGGTTGTATAATTCTCCTGAGAAGCCACTTCATGAACACAAGATAGCAGCAGCAGAAGAAGATGGCAATGATCAGGAACAAGAAGAAGCAGGAGAAGAAGAATATTACAGTACTGGAGAAGAATACAAAGTAGTTGAATCAGATGACTCCACAGATGAAGAGTACAAGCAACCTACAGATGAGGACAGTTCTGCAGATGATGAAGAAGTAGTACAATTGAGGAAGTTTGCTAAGGAAATCAGGAGGAACATCAAGGCTAAGAAAGTTGGTCTGAATGGTAGTCAGCTTGTAGAAATCACAGAGAAAGCTTTGATGGTGGTTGAAGAAGAAGAACCAATAAACTTGGAAGACCTAGGCAGTCCATATTGTGATTCAAGTGACGAGTACTCATATGAGGAAAACAGTGAAGGAGAAACAGATAGGTGGAAGAGTCAGGAGAACAGGTATGATAGCAAAGCACCAGTGCCCGTGCTTGCTCTTGGGATGGCTTGTAGGTGCAGTAGACAGTTCAAGAAAGCATTGATAAAGTATGGGTTGAAGACACATAGGCATCTGAATTTCATCAAGGATGAGAAATCAAAGGTAAGGGCTACCTGTAGCTGGGAAGGTTGTAACTGGCTTATATATGGATCAAAGACTAGCAGGTCAGAATGGTTCAAGGTTGTCACATTTCATGATGAGCACACCTGCCCACCCAGGAGGGACAACAAATTGGTGACTTCCACAAGGATTGCCAAACACTACTACAACTAGATAAAGGATAACCCAACTTGGAAGGTGGGTCTTATCAAGCAAGCTGTGCTCAAAGACTTTCTAGCTGATGTGTCCATATCCAAGTGCAAGAGGGCCAAGTCTTTAGTGCTCAATGCTGCATTGGATGGTATGAAGGGTGAGTACACAAGGGTGTATGACTACCAAGTTGAGCTACTAAGGAGCAACCCAGGTTCAACAATTGTTGTATGCCTTAATGCAGAATTTGAAGACAGGAAAATATTTGAGAAATTTTATTGTTGTTTCGATGCTTGTAAGAAGGGCTTCCTAGCTGATTGCAGGAGAGTCATTGGTTTGGATGGCTGTTGGTTCAAGGGTGCTAACAATGGTCAGCTGTTGCGTGCTGTTGGTAGAGATGCCAACAATCAGATGTACCCTATTGCATGGGCTGCAGTTGCCACAGAAACTTATGAGAGCTGGTACTGGTTCCTTGGGTTGCTACAGAAGGATCTGAACATCAGTAATGGAGGTGAAGCTTGGGTTATCATATCTGACTAGCAAAAGGTACAACTACTAATAATCTCGTGCATCTACTAATAATTTCATACATGTACTAATAATTTGGTACAGCTACTAATAATTTGGCACATGTACTAATAATTTGGCACATCTGCAGGGACTGTTAAAGGCAGTGCAGGAGCTCATTCCTAATGCTGAGCACAGAATGTGTGCAAGGCATATATACGCAAACTGGAGGAAAAAATATACTGACAAGAAGTTGCAGAAGAAGTGGTGGAGGTGTGCCAAGTCCCCTTGTAGAGTACTGTTCAACTTGGACAGGGCTCTGCTTGCACAAGACACCCCAGAGGGAGCAAAGGATATGATGAATACTTCACCTGAACATTGGAGTAGGGCATTCTTTAGGCTTGGTTCCAACTGTGATTCAGTGGACAACAACATGTGTGAGAGCTTCAACAATTCCATTATGGATGCAAGATTTTATCCTGTGATATCCATGAATGAGGCAATTAGGAAGAAGGTAATGGTACAAATTCAGGAGAATAGGACCAAGGCAGAGAGATGGACTGGAACAATCTGTCCTAACATTTTCAAGAAACTGAAGGTCAACATTGAAAGATCAGGAAAATGTGATGTATTATGGAATGGACAAGATGGATTTGAAGTACAGGAAAGGGAGGATAGGAGATACATTGTCAACCTGAATCAAAGATCATGCACTTGTAGGTACTGGCAGCTATCTGGATTACCTTGCTGCCATGCAATCAGCTGCATGTACAAGTCCTCTAGGAAGTTGGATGAGTTCATAGCACCATGTTTCTCAATATTAATGTTCAACAGAACTTATGCTCATGTGCTGCAACCAGTTGAAGGCCCTGGCAATTGGCCTATATCAGACATGCCAAAACCAGAACCACCAGCTTTTGTGAAGATGCCAGGGAGGCCAAAGACACAGAGAAAAAGAGAGGCAGGTGAAGAACCTAAAGGGAGCAAGCTAAGCAGGGTTGGCATCAAGATGAGGTGTAGACTTTGCCACAAGTCTGACAACAATTCTAGGAGATGTCCAAAGAACCCTGAAGCTGGCAACAAACAAAATGCACACATCAAGAGGCAGAAGAAAAGAAAGCAAAGCACTACACCTGCTGCTGCTACTACTAAGAGGCAGAAGAGTACTCCTCGGATGGTAAGTGCTCATTTAATTACTTGCAATTACATTCCTGATCACATTCTCATTTGTCAACCTTTGTGTTACCTGAGTGTTACAACAGCCTGCAGAAAATACATCAACCAGCCAAGCTGGACTAAGTCAAGCAACATCAAGCCAGGCTCGAACAAGGGGAACAAGGGGAGGAAGCCAGGCTCCAACAAGGGGAAGAAGGGGCAAAACCCAGGCTGCATCAAGGGGAGGAACCCAGGCCGTTACAAGCCAAACAGGAGGGCGCCTGCAACACCTGTTGTTTGGGGACAACTACTGAAAGCCTTGACTCATGTTAGGTTGTGAATATGTAGGCCAAGCTTTTGTGCATACAAATGCCAAGCTTTTGGGCATACAAATGCCAACTTTTGTGCATAGGAATGACCGTAGTGGTTACAAATGCAAGTTTTTGTGTACAGCTGCTCAGACATGCCTCCTTTTGTGTATCGCTCAGGCATGTATGTCTTTAGTAATCTAGCTGGAATCATGTACAAATGCCTCTGGATATGCTAAGTCGGACATGCCTTCTTTTGTGTATAGCTGCTCAGGCATGCAAGTCTTTAGTAATCTAGCTGAAATCATGTACAAATGCCTCTGTATATGCTATCAAAAAATTCTCTCTGGATATACTGTAAAAAAATTGCCTCCAATGAATGCTATTGTGTCTTCTCTGTCTATTTGCCGCCAAAATGAGCGGACAGCACAGCTCCTGGAGGGAAATACCCATCCCCTCCCGCCAAAACGAATGGTCCAGTGCCACCATGTCATCCTCTGCCATGGTGGACCGCCAGCTGAGCAAAACAGCCCCCCAAAACCACCCAGGGGGTTAGTTAAACGGTTTAGGAAAGTTTAAGGTGCTGCTTAGACTGTTTTAAACCTCAGGGGGTGGATCAACCAGAGTACCAAACCTCAGGGGGTGATGTAGACTTTTTCCTTTTCTTTTATGGCTACACTGCATGCACACACATCTAAATAAAGCTGTACAACATTTACAATAATAAAAAAGACATTTCCAACAGTTTGAACTTGGAATTAAGTAGTAAAGAAAGAGATGCATCTGTCTCGATGATGAGCATCTAATTCCTGCAGCACCTCTTTGTTAAGTCCATTATATAAAAAAAAGACAGAAACATACAGATATGAAAAATAAAATCAAGTGCTTGATATACAATTTTAGGGTAGAAAGTATACATAATATTCAAGGCAAGCACTTCCCATCCACCTATACTTCTCTGATCCAATATCAATATCAGCCACCAGACCTGCAGTTCATAGATCATTTTCAGGCTTGTCAATTACATTTTACTGTAGCAAAATCGAAAGTGACAGAGCAATCTCTGAGAAAGGTGGCCTAAGTTCTCACCTGTTGTTTGCAAAGAGTTAGCATAGATATTATATGCTGCATACCCCGTGTAAGCATCAGGACACTAAAGAACCTTGTCTTTCCCGGCTTCCCTGCATAACAGAAGTAACATCAAGTGCACGTTTATGACCTGTGTAACAGAAAGAAGCTGCATCAGCAATTGTTCAAACACATAAATGGGCGAGATAATGAAGAGAGATGACAGGGCTGCTAGTGAAAGGTGACAAAAAACGAGGAAAAAAATACTGACCTCCGATGATTGCAAACCCGGCATTAGATATACAGAATGGTTCACCAGCAGCATGCAATAGAGATCGTGCCATTCCATTTCCAGTACCCGTTGCACATTGTAGTGCGTGAAATGTCTGCCTAGAGCACTAACAACAACAAAGTGCACAAATGTTAGAATGTGAACAAAAACTGAAAAAGCTACAAGCTACAACTAACCTTGGTTAAACTCTACCAACACACCATCTCCACTGACACAAATGATGCCATCATACTTCCTAAGATCAAGTGAATGTGCAATCTCTTGAGCATGAAGGCGATGCTTGGTTTCTAAACATGTTTCACAATTTGAAATTAGATACAGAGCAACAGGCATCACAATTATAATTCCAAAAACACGATGAATAAACATAGACCACCAAACCTTGCATCGTATAAAGCACACCAGCAGCTTCAGTGAGAGGGAGGACTTCATTCTGGAAAATACTCTGTCCACTCCCCTTTCCGCCATAAGGGTTCACTATAATAAACAATCTCTTTGGCCGGCATGTGACAATGTTGCAGGAGGAATACCTAAAGGACCATGAGTAGGCAAGACTAGTGTTCTAACTCAGTTGTTAATTTACTATGCTTTTCTGAAGGAGTTAGAGAAGCTTGAACTAGTACCAACCAACTAGAAATGAAACAGAAATATGCAGGACAAAGGAGGCACTATTGATGATAAATAAATGAGCAGAAAAGGTCCTCAGATATTTTACATTGATAGCTAGGGATGCAAGTCTCCCATGTTTTTAGTCACTGGATCGACCCAAAACTTGATAAAATGAACTAGAATGGCATGCCACGTAATTAATTTAGGAGAAAAATGAACTTAGCTGACACATAAGACACCATTGGGTACCCATTTGCATCCTAATTGATAGCTAATGCAACACTCAAGGGTACTGACTACTGTTAAATGGCAATGGTGACACTGAAAGGAATATTCAACCTAATTTCACAAAAGAAAAAAAAATGGGCCTAAAGCTACAGAGCAGGTAAGCATAACATTACTACTGCTATCACTTCTGCATTGCACAAAATGAACAGGCATCAGATTTAGACAGGCATACCACGCCGGCGCCATCTTCGGCGGAGACGCGCTGCTGGGTGAACGTGAAGACCGTCACCTTCTTCGACGCGCGGGAGGCAGAGACGCGTCGCCGCCGCGCGCCCTCCGTGGTGCTGCTGGATGCGCGTGGGAGATGGTGGGCGGCGCGGAGCCGAGGAGGACGAGCAGTAGGGTCAGGAGGTGGGGTTGCGGTGAAGTGGCGGCCTTTAGTTGCAGTGGCAGGCTGGCAGCAGAGATTGGTATCCCATAAAAAATACGGAGTAGTTGACAGATAATTTAAAAATTATAGATAAATAAACAATAACTACTGTATAACCTAGCTATTAACTTATAGCTAAGCACTTGACTTTATTATTGAACATGCCTTAACTGAAGCTGGCTCATTCCTGAGATGAGTACATGACCTGACTGCAGCATGATATTCAGCTAATAAAAATGAAAAAAGAAAGAAATTAATCTAGGAAAAAAGAAAAAGAAAGAAATTGATATAGCAGCTAACCACTAGTAGTGAGGCTGCTGCAGCCTTTTTGATAATGAATGAATCCATCAGTAAAGCAAAGCCGCTGAGGGCAGCAGCACATAGAATGATAGATCACAAGATACACGAGATGAGATGAGTGAGTAGATATACTAATCCTTGGAACTTCAAGATTGTTATACTAAATTACAGTTAAAAGCGACGAAGAATTAGCAAGCACACCAGAAATGAAACGATGAAATACAGTCACGCATCAGATTTGAGACCATCAACGACAGAATGGCAGACCAGAAATGAAACGATGATTTGAGACCATCAACGACAGAATGGCAGACCAGAAACGAAACGATGATTTAAATACAGTCAGGCATCAGATTTGAGACCATCAACGACAGAGTACCAAAAATACAATTGTAAGGTAAACACTGGTTACCAGACCATATCATATCCGAGACAATCAACTGCAGAATGGCAGAGTACCAACCAAGGTCACCACAACAGGTTGACTGCTAGCTGTTCATGTGTAGCCATTACCATTAGCCAAAAGCCCAAAAGGCAAGCAATCGGCATCTGCAGATATCTGCAGAATGGCCAAGGTCACCACACACACCAGGTTGACTGCTGGCTGTTCATGTGTAGCCATGACCCATTAGCCAAAAGGCAAGCAATCGGCATCTGCAGATAGGGCAGACACCTCATAGAAACATGTCATTGATAATACTAGTACTATAGAAGCAAAATCCAATAATAGGCATATTATTATGGTATACGCAATCACGAACACAACCGTCGACACATACTGTAAACACACTGAACCATCAAAATTGTTCTTTTGTAACTACTACTAGCACCACCCAACAAAATAGTACTTATTTGACATATATATAAATGATACTCCAAGCAGAACCATGGATACATGCAGGATCATCATCATTTCTTCTTTGCAGCCGCCTTGGTCACCTTGGCTCCCGTCGGGACCTTCTTCTCCACGCTCTTTATCACACCGACCGCAACCGTCTGCCTCATGTCGCGAACCGCGAAGCGCCCCAGTGGAGGATACTCGGAGAAGGTCTCCACCACCATGGGGATCATCTTGACGAAGCCGGCATCTCCGTTCTTGAGGAACTTGGGGGCGCTCTCCAGCTCCTTGCCCGACCGCCGGTCGATCTTGGTGAGCAGCTCCGAGAACTTGACGGCGATGTGGGACGTGTGGCAGTCCAGCACCGGGGCGTAGCCGTTGCCGATCTGCCCAGGGTGGTTCATGATGATCACCTGCGCGGTGAAGCTGGCAGCCTCCTTGGCGGGGTCGTCCTTGGAGTTGGAGGCCACGTAGCCGCGCTTCAGGTCCTTGACCGCCACGTTCTTGACGTTGAAGCCGACGTTGTCGCCGGGCAGCGCCTCCTGCATCGACTCGTGGTGCATCTCCACCGACTTGACCTCTGTCGTCAGGCCCGTGGGCCCAAAGGTGACCACCATGCCGGGCTTAATGAGGCCGGTCTCCACGCGGCCGATTTGTTTATGTGAAAAAAAATATCACTAGCTGGTTTATATAAATAGTATCCATACGAGGGGTGTGGCCAATAACCAAGCATCGGGACGGTGCCGATGCCGCCGATCTTGTACCCACGTCCTGCAGAGGAAGGCGCAGGGGTCCATTGTCTGAGGGCCGCTTTCATTACGGGCTATACGTTGATCTGGTCCAGCGCCTCAAGGAGGGTGGGGCCCTTGTACCAGTCCAGGTTCGTCGACCTCTCGATCATGTTGTCACCCTCGAACCCAGAGATGGGCACGACGGGGATCTTGTCCGGGTTGTACCCCACCTTCTTCAGGTAGGAACCCACTTCCTTGACGATCTGCCTCACACCAAGAGTACCTTGTTGCAGCAGCAGATCATCTGCCTCACACCAAGAGTGAAAGCAAGGAGTGCGTGCTCACGGGTCTGGCCGTCCTTGGAGATGTCAGCCTCAAAGCCACCAGTGGTGGAGTCAATGATAAGCACCGCACAATCAGCCTGGGAGGTGCCGGTGATCATGTTCTTGATGAAGTCACGGTGCCCAGGAGCGTCAATCACAGTGCAGTAGTACTTGGTGGTCTCAAACTTCACAGGGCAATGTCAATGGTGATGCCCCTCTCGCGCTCGGCCTTGAGCTTGTCAAGCACCCAGGCGTACTTGAAGGACCTCTTGTTCATCTCAGCAGTCTCCTTCTCAAACCTCCCGATGACACGCTTGTCAATGCCTCCAAGCTTGTAGATGAGGTGGCCGGTGGTGGTGGACTTGCCGGAGTCGACATGGCCAATGACCACAATGTTGATGTGAACCTTCTCCTTCCCCATGGCAAAGGGAGCAGCTGACTAGTTAGCTGTATTCACAAACATCAGTAGAAGGATATATATAGCAAGCAGTTACACAAAAGTCAAGATATACTACAATTAGTAGTTGAGAGATTGATTTTTTTAACAGTATAATTAGCAGTTGAGAGATTGAATTAGCAGAAGGATACATATAGCACGCAATTACGCAAAAGTTAAGATATACTACAATTAGTAGTTGAGAGATTGAGTTTTTTTAACAGTACAATTAGTAGTTGAGAGATTGATTTTTTTTAAAGAACAGTTGTGGCCATTCATTGATTAGCAGCAAATTAAAGGACATATATATAAGCAGACTGCTAGATTAATTGTTCTTTTGTTTAGAAAAGCAAAGACAACATAGTTAGTCCTAAGAAAACAGAGACCATGCAGTCAGTATTCATCCATCTGTAATGTAATTCATACAGAATGAAGAGCAACCAAGAAAACAGAGACCATGCAGTCTGTATTCATCCATCTGTAATTAGTAATTCATACAGAATGAAGAGCAACCAAGCAAGATAAATAAGATTATTAACACAACTGCCAAATGAATATATAAAGATACATGCAGCAAGAACAAATTATATACTACAACATGTTAATAAATATAAGCAGGCAAGCATGATGTATCTAATCCAAGAATACACAAACGGATTATTAACTAGCAGGCTATGTGAGTGAGTGCTTGGCGTGGCAATCTGATCTGGCAGTGGAGCAGATTAAACTGGAGATGCAGAAACTAGAATTGAAGCACCCAAAAGGATTCGAACCTATGGCATCGTTCGCTTAGAGGAATTTGGAGGAATCTGAATGAATCTAGAGTAATTTATGAGAGAAAAATACTATTCCGAATAAAAAATGAAGCAGATCAAACCGAATTTAAGAGCACGCGAACGGGGCCTATAACAGAAGGCCCGGCCCCTTCGGAGGAGAAAGAAGACGAGACCCTCTTGTCTTTTCCATTAGACAATGGGCACACTAGTCGCATCTCCAGTACCAGTTTGAGTTTGGATTTAATCAAGCGGACGATACGATGATATATATTATAACAATTTGATCTATCTGCCTTATTAGAAAAGTAAAAGAAAGAAAAACGATTGATAGCGTAGCTAGGTGCGGGACATAAAGAGCGATCGACCAGCACACGATTTTGGGAAGTACTACTGATTTTGGGAAGTACTACTCCTATATGTAGTCCTAGTATATGCGTGGAGGACAAAAGCTAGGGAACAATTCAGAGAAATTTGAAGACTAATAATGAATCAAGCATTTGAAGACTAGCATCAAAGAATTCAGACAAAACTTGAATAGTAACAATTGAATCAGAGCCATGAATGATACAGTAACAAATCAAGCACCCCGCCCGTATCGGAGGACGGAAGAGGAATCGAGCTAGTACCTTACCTCGATGGGGGAAGTCAACAGACAGAGCCGACAGGGGAGGGGATCGACGTGGCCCAATTTTTTTGCAATTTGATTTTTTTTCCAAAAAAAATTTATGTTTGGCCCTCTGAAAGGCGTAAACTCATTTTTGGATCGTAGGGGTCGACGCCAGGACTCATAGCTCCGATGTAACACGTCTCGACGCCACAGATCTTGGCTCCGAAATGCCTGGCCGTGCACAAGATCTGTGGGTCCGAGCTCGGAGCCGTGGATCTCGGAGCCATGGATCCTGGCGTCGAGCATGGATTCAAAACCCACGGCAAAAGTTTCCCTTGCTAAGGCTGCTTTCATTTCTTTTTAACGGGCCACATACATGTGCTTGTTTTTTGTTTAATCACCTAAGGCATATTAGGGTTAGTCGAAGGAACTATGTACCCTTGTTTGGCACATGTTCTCACATGCTATTTTATGTGCTTGTTGTTTGCTTCAATTACTTAAGGCATGCTAGGTTTAGTCCAGGATCTCTGTATCCTAGTTTTGTACATGTTATCACATGCCATTTCATATGTTGTGTGTGTTGAATTAGGTAATCCACTACTTCGTTATATTTTATTTGCACTAAGTGAACTCGTTTCACTACCTATGCAATATTAAACTCAATATTATGACAACAAATAATGAAACCAACAACACTATGAAAGGCCTAATAATAGAGCACATTAATCAACATAACAACATTTGAAGTACACGACGACAAACTAAATAACGCAGAACATGCCCTAGGTACGTCCATACTTAAAGTGCATTACAAGACAACACAATGCAAAGTCCAAGATTAGACGACATTGTTTATGATTAAACCATAGAACTAGCAAGTCATGAAGACTACTAAGTGCAACGATGCCACTTTTTCTTCCTCTAGGCATCGGGATTCTCCTCCATCGCTGCCTTCGCTCGGAGCGCACGCTCAAGCTTCATCTCCCTCTCCTCCCTGTCGCAGCAACACGCCTCATTTCCTCCTCTTTCTTGTGCTCCTTTTCAAGAGCCTCCTCTCTGCGTCTCTTCTCCATTATCTCCTTGTCCTCTGCCTCCCACCATAACAGTTTCTGCATCCACTCCTAGTCTTCCGGCTTGATCTCAGTGTCGATCCACTGCTCAAAATCATAGAGCGGTGGAAGGGTCTGCAACAAATGTAATTGTTACAAAACAAATAAATCATGCAAGACTTCATTTGACACAAAATAATTATTACACAACATCAATTTCTCACCATCTTGTTAATGCGACGCTGACGAAGTGTAGGCTCCAACGCAAAATTGGCACACATCCAATACCTCTGTCGATATGTGTCCTCTTCATCGGACTTGGCTACCTTGCAAGGATCACCGCACCAGCACATGGGCACTGGAACACCACTAGGCAGAGGCAATGGGTCGAAGGCATTTTCGGTCATCCGGCCATAACTACAATTGAACCAAATTTGTTCTAAGAACAAAAAACAATGAACATTAAACCCTAAACCTAGGGTTTTTCCATTTATTGCACATAAATGAAAACATAATATAACACGATGATAAGAGATTACCTTAGCTTACTAGCTTTACCACGATTTGGCATCCTACCATTACATAATACAAAAAATAAAAAATCACTTCAAACATTAGGTGTCGGGTTCATAAACCTGGGGTCCCTCATGGACCGGCTTTCCAGCAAAGGCTCGGCCCAGCACACGATGTTGCGCAAACTCCTGGGCCGGCCCAAATACCTAAACGACAGGCCAGAAGGACGATCCAATCTCCGACCGGAAGGCCTGGCCGAGAAGGAACGGCGCCCTCTTCCGACTCTGGCCCTTCTCTCCGATCGGAAGGCCTCGCTAAGGAGGAACAACGCTCGCTTCTGACTCCGGCCCGCCTCTCCGACCGAAAGGCCTGGCCAAACACCACTTCCGACTCCAACCGGGGATGCACCAAACCCCTGCTTACAGCTCTTCTTCGACTGACGCAGTCGGAGCCGACTAGGACCAACCGATTGGGGACGCCCGCTCGATGAGGACCAGGAAACGGACAGAGAAAGTAAGGCAGGCCACTCAAGTCAACCGCAATACCGAGGACCGTACCCTGTACACCTGTAGGACAGTACCAATAAGGCATGTCAAAAGGGTACCCTGCAACCTTCCTAGCATGTCAGAACTCAAGCAGTGTTGTGGGCAACGACATTTCCCCTACAGTGTTGTGGGCGCCATCAACTCTCATACCAGACAAACACGGTAAGGCTCCCCCACATGCCTCTAGACACCAACAGTGTTGTAGGCGCCGACATTTACCATACCAAATGAACATGGTAAAACCCCCTACATGCCTCTAGGTATCAACAGTATGGCAGGCACCGACGTCTGCCATACCAGAAGAAGACGACGCAACCTCCCACATGCATCTGACATTAACAGTGTTATGGGCGCCTATAATCATCTTGTACCCGACGGTGTGGGCAACAAGACTTAGCATACATACACTCTTCCTCTCTCACTTGTAAGGCCATCCCCTTCATCTATAAAAAGGGATACGCTGTAACACCTTTAGTGTTACGTGCTCGTTTAGCACCGCGATTTAGGCCTAAGAAAAATTTCTGAAACGAGTTTCTCGGTGTCGACGAAATATGGTCGGCAGTCCACCGAGGGGGGTGTCCGTGGTGGTAGATTATCGGTAGGATGCGCGTAATCAGGAACCAGATGGTGACACAAGGCGCAGAGACAGCGATTTAGACAGGTTCGGGCCGTCTGATCGACGTAATACCCTACGTCCTGTGTCTTTGGTGTATTGTATTGAGATGTATACAGATTCACCTCCCTCGCTAGGGGACCCCTGCCTCTCCTTATATACTCTGGAGGAGGAGGGTTACAAGTAAAGTATCCTATTTGGTACTATTTACAATATCTAGTACAACTTGTAATCTTGCCATGTACGCCTTGATCTCACGGGCCGGGCCACCTCGGATGGTGCGGCCCATGTACCATCTTGTTGTACCCGGGGGTATATCCCCCACAGCTAGTCCCCGAGTGCCATATATTCTGATGCGACATGCCATTTTAATCTTCTCCGAACAGTGAGCCTTGAGTTCTTGACATCTCCGACCACCATTGTCGCCGGAGAAATAGGTTGTCCGAAGAATGTATGGTGCTCTTAAAAAGAAAGAAAAAGATTTCCGTCCTGGGAAGTGTGCCCACTTGTATTTCTGAAAAGAAATGTAAGTGTGTCTTGAAGCATAGCGTCTTTGATCGTCAGAGGCGTAGTGGTCGAAAAACAAGCACATTCACCGCAAGGTCAAGTGTGCCCACTTAGTCCCCGAACCTGGTAGTAGGTGACGTAGGCACGTGGTGCCAGGGTCTAAAAAGAATTCCCAGTTAAGTTGAGAATCCAATCGTCGTATAGGCGATACGAGATGCACCGGCAGGTGTATCATACCGATGTAGTCCCCGAGCTTGCTGGAAGGCGAGGTATGAGCCTTGTAGCAAGGTCTAAGTGCGAAAAAATATCCCAACTGTATGCGAGTTGCCAGTCGCATGTAGCCAAGACGCAAAGTCCCCGAGCCATGGTCGGAGA